AGTGTGGCAGTTGGTGCTTTGGATCCTCACCCCATGAACAGTTTTGAAGGCTTCTGTTCATGAGAACCTCCATTTGAGCAGGCAGGCACATGTCTCTACACTCTAACACCTTCACATTGCAAGATGGGAAGGGCCAGGAAAATGCAAGAGCTCCCCAACCTCATCCCTTAGGAATGTTTGGTCTTTTTCTGAGAGTTGCAGCTTCTTGAGCCCCGGGATTCTGGCAGAGCCAAGCCCTTCAGTGTGCTTGGATAGTCTGACTTTTCTAATATGACTGTTGTTGACACTGTATATCTGTAAGCAAGCCTTCTTAGACAGACAAATGAAGGGTACCTTTTTAAATCATAACTGTAAAATTATATCACTCATTAGAATTACAAGTTTCCCTTCTTTTGTACAGGTAATGGTAATAATGGTCTAATGATGGCATTGGCCACAACAAACCTTATTCAATTTTAGCAGGAGAAATCATGCATTTGTTTTGCATGTAAACTTCTATTATTTGGATGGGGCTCCTGTGACATAGGCCATTATATCTGTAATATGTATTTATAGTTGTTTAAAGACCTGAAAGTTTATGGAATAAATCTGATGCAATATAGCCAGGAGGCCTGTGAGTTTTCATCACGCTATTGATTAAAAAGCCCACCACTACACTGTGAAGATAATGGAAAGAATTGAAAATGGGTAAAAATTCCTTTTATTCTGTATAAATAATCTCACTTAAAAAGAAAAAAAAAGAATATTTGCTTATTTTTTTCCCTTAAGATAATCTCTGCCTTTGTTTGAAAAAGGTTATTGATTGGATTGTTAACTTAAATAGTCTGTGGCGGGTGTGACAGAGCACATGGCTGCAATTAATCTTACAATGCAGAATCCATTATTGAAAAAGCACTAATGAGCCATTCTAAGGCCTTCACTGGTCACAGAGCGACTGGAAGCAGCAGATTGCTCCTGCCCTTTAATGTCAGTTTTGGTCTTTAGTGTTATACAGCCAGTGTAAACAGAAGAGATTTTTAGATATTTTTAGGGTATTTATGTTAAAATTATCCTTCCCACCAGCCTGCAATTGTACCAGGTGCAGGATACAAGAAATGGTCTCTGAATGTGCTCACCTCCCCACTCCTCTGACCAGATGTCTCATGGACATAATGTACAATTAAAGCCAGTGGCATGTGAAACACTGATGTCACTATAAAATATGGTCTCAGTCTCAATGTTCAGATCCACAGGAAAGTTTTGACAAAGATGAGGGAGCTTTCAAACCTGATCTACACTTTAAAATAGTGTTTTAAGAGAAAGGGATGAGCTGTTGAAAATCTCACTGCAAGTTTTATTGTCTCTGTCTGTTGTTTATAGCTATTGCAGCATAGCAAAAGTTTAGGTAGAGAATAGTTATGGTAGATTAGAAACCGTCAATGTTAACATATTGCCTTCTCCTTCAACAGAACTGCTCCCAGGGTGTATTTTAGAGGTCTGTCAATTGACTTTGGTGACACCATAAATATGTGTTACTTCCTTCCCCTATTAGATCTGCAGAGCTGATACAGACTTGTGAGAGTGATCCAGGTTTCCCAGGGTGGAGCCACCACCTGAATTATTAACTGAGTTTCAGCTGCAGACTCTGCTGCACACCTTAGCCCCAGCAAACGCTGTTCATCACACAATTAGGTGAAATAAGACTGTTTCTCCATCTTAAACACATAGCAGGAAGACTTTTGGCTCTCTGGCTTGTGTGCGACCACAGTGTCTGTAACTGGAATCACATTTTGGACTGCTTTGTGTGTAAAAGAAAATTGTGGCCTGAAGTAGCCTTTTTATTTTTAAGGAAAAAAGAAAGGGAATTTGAATCTACCTGTAGTAGTTTGCCACATGCAACTACAGGACTTTGTGTTCAGGTATTCTGACACAGAAAGCATGCTAAGAAGTTCTGTGATAAGGAGCAGGAATGGTGTTCACTAACACTGCCTCAGGAAGTCTTGGATGTGTGAATTTTCTCATAGCATGTAAAACACTAGGTTTTGAACAAAAGCAGCAGGGAAAGAAAGAGAAAGAGGTCATGAAGAAGGAGAAACCAGGGAGGAAAGGAAAAAGAATTTTGATATTTTGAGTATCTAGTGGCATGCTTACCATATACTGTAGTGCCTCACCATGCTGATAGCATAAATAAAAATAGTCTTTCTAATGACATTAAGCCGGGGTCATGGATACCACAAGGAATGTTCCTTAATGTGACAGAGCATCTGACTTAGAGGCTGAAGAAAGACATTTTTTTTTTGCCTTACACATATTATAAGCTCTGGGCTAGCAGAGAGCAACTTTCAGCTATGCAGATTCAATTTTTGTAGTCAAAGTACTTGGAGAGAAAGCCTAATTGAATGCATGAATTTACATGTTCTTGCAAAATATTTCTGCTTTGCTACTAGAAAGAAACCACTATGGCCCTCACTCTAGTCCTAATTTTTCTAAGGAATCCTCAGCCTACAAGAGACCATTTCTTTTAGGCTTGTGGTGGGGGTGGTTCTTAAGAAGTGCTCTGCAATATAGGTAGGATGTATCACTTCAAGGATGAAGCACCACTGATGGGAGATGCCACATTGGAGACCTGCAGAGGGGTTTTTGAGGCAAATGAGGAACAAAACAGTCAAGACTGATAACTGGAAGAGAGCAGGACTGGCTATGAAGGGACAGAGATAAAGGAGTGAACAGGACCTGACCCTCATGTTGTGTTAGAAAGGGAGGGTCCTCAGCTGGAGTCTCTGCAGTGAGCAATGTGTGTGCATAGGCAAGTGAGCATGCGAAGATGTGCATGCATTTAGCTGGGATTTATTCCTGTAAGTTTGATTCCATTCTTTCTGTTTCTTTTCAAATGTGACTGAAGCTTTTTAACTCTTTGATTAATTCACCTCCCTATATGAGTTGTTTTCTGTGATATATTCCAGCACTGTACTACATTTTCGGAAACAACTCTCTGCTGTTGGGATGAATTCCTCCCTGATGTGTAGCATGGCACATTTGTTCTATTTACTGGTGTTGGAATAAGGTTTGCATTAAATGTAAATCAGATCTGGAGGAACATTTCAGTGTCATGTCAGGTTCTGCTAGTTTGGTAGTATCAGAAAGTATATGGGGTCCTCTCAGCAAGAAAAGGTATCTTGTCACATCTCCTTTTGCTTAGTTGTAGTTTCAAGGCTCAGAACTTCAGTTGGTCCACTGTAAATCTCAGTAAAAACTGTCACTTGTTTTGCGCTGACTTTTAAGGGCTTCAAAACCCTGTGATCTTCTTAGCCCATCTGAGCTCATCAGTATTGTCAAGATGTTTCTTTATTCAAAGGCTTAAGAGTGATATGAGCAATTTCACTGATCCCTCCTTCTCTAAATAGCTCCTTTATTTTCTATTCAATTTCTTTAATAATTATGCACATACATTTCTGGACTGGACAGGCTTAGTTGTTGTATCACAAATGTGCAAATATAACTGGAGAACAAAAATTCTTATTACAGCATTTGATGGTATCATGGACACATCCCTTACAGCATTACTTCCTTATCCAGCAATTCTCAGCAACTGTTTGCTTCACTAGCTGAAAATTACAGAAACTTTTTGTAGGGTGGTGATGGGCATTGTGATGATGCAGCAAAATATTAATGATAGGTCTGGTAATGAAGATGACACATCTGTACCCACATCTACTATAAACATGCCTTTTTTTTCTTATTGGAGAAACAGCCTTTCTTTCTCCATTCTTAAAAAGGCACTTAGGCTGGTGGTAGTGGAAAATATTTTTTCCAATCCATTGGTTGAATCTAAGAACAGCAGACTGGGTAGAGGTGAAAAGCCCCACGCAACTTATGGTGCCAGTTTCTAGAAGAAGCAGGCGGCAGTGCTGGATGTGCATACCTGTGTTCCTAGTCTTTCTACAGATGAGCAGTTGACTCTCCCTGCCCTAACTATGCACAGTGTTAATGTTTAAGTGTGTCAGAGAAGGATTCTAAATATGGGGCTTTCCAAGAAGGCAGGCAAGAGCTTATTGCAGGAGACTATGGCAATGTCTCAGCCAGGTAAGGGTGGTTTGGGAGTACAGTACTTTATTTCAGCGGTGTATTTGTCTTGTTTTGTTTTGCAGAAGGAACACTGATCCTACCTTTGGTTTGTTTGTTTGTTTGTATTTTCCCCTCCAGAAAGCCCATTGCTGACCCTGCTACTGTGATACCGCTGTTTTGCAAAGCTGAAGTCGACACGCATGTAGGGGCGGGGGTTGTAACTCTGGCAATTTGTCCTTCCCAATTAGATGTGACTGTTCTGCTAGCTTTCCCTTCTTTATTCCTTTCATTTAGTTCATTGTGGGAATTGGCTTGGGATTTTTTTTCCTTTCAGTTTCCTGTTTTGATCCTGGAAGGTTAGCTGTGCAATTTGGTTTCTTCTGTGCCAACCAACTTTAGTGGCAGAGCTCTTAAAAAAATTAAAAGCTATATCCTTCCATCCCGTCTTGTGTCTTCTCTGTACACTACTGCTTCCATTTAAGCAAAGTTTACAGAAGTGCTCCACCCATTTGGACACCAGGAAAGGAAGCTGTGAAATGGAGAATAACCTCATTTCCACCAGGTCCTTCGTTCCGGTCGAAACAACGCTAATTGAAACTGTAGTCCAATTTCTATTAAGACGGATGGTCTCTCTGAAATTGGGTTTGTTTCTGAGTTCATCTTTTTTCTTGTTTTCTTTAAAAAAAAAACAAATCCCCACAAAAACCAACTCAAAGCCAAACCATTTTTAAGAGCTCTGAATAAAACTGCTTTGCCAATGGGGTGGAGATGACTGATTTTCTCTTGTGCCCGGCAGCGAAAGGGTTAATGCCTGCTTTCCTCTTTGGTATCTGTTAGTTGCAGCTCATGTTGTGATCAGTCCATGTCCATGTGTGCTTTGTTCCCAAATTTAAACCGGTTAATTAACAAGCAACAAGTGAGCCTTAACAATGACCGTTGTTTTCGATCTTCCTCAGGACACCCGACCTGCCTGCAGTTCACCACAAACATGACTGAGGCTGTTAAAACCTATCAGTGGCAATGCATTGAGTGCAAATCCTGCAGCCTCTGTGGGACCTCAGAGAACGACGTGAGTCCATTTACCTTTTCATGCAAATAAGCATCACTGCACGCTGCTGCTGTGCCCACCCTTGAGGAGCATGTGGCACTAGTGTGGGGCATTGTTTTACTGCTGCTTCCATGCGTCTCCAAGGAAAAGCCACCCCTGAGTGCAGATGGGCTTCTCCCCAGTGTCCTCATTCAGCCACTGGTCTCTGCTGAAATTACTATGGGTATCAAACAGGGCCACTTAAGATGCTGATACTTGTGGTTTGTGTACTTATTCAATAGAAATTAGCTGAAGGCCATGAATTCTTGTTGCAGGGAGCTTTCAGCATGATAGTCAGAAGTAGATGTGAATACATGATAACCCAAGAGAGGCAAGTATGCTTCTGTCCCCGATTTTCTTTACTTTCTTGGTATGATTTTTTAAACTTAATTACAAGACTTGGAAAACATGAAACCATTTGAAGTGGGATGGCTAAGCCTCACCTAATCACCAACTCCAGTGATTTCCAGAGCCTGCAGCTGAGCAATGTCCTCCCTGCAGGGTTTGCAGTTAAAATCTGATGCTAAGGGTCCTTGGTGGCCTGTGAGAACCTTGGAAAATTGATAGTGGTTGGAGAACTTTGGAGGTGATTAGCTAACACTATATTCCCTACAGCAGAATAAATTTGAAGCCTGAGATTTTGTTTTTGCTTTAGCATAAAAAAATCTGAACCTGGGGAACTTAGGAATCACAGGATACTTCAGAGCAACTTTTTTGCCCCCAAATATATGAAAGAGCTGCAGACCACATGGTGGGGTCATGTAATTTCCATCTGTTTCACAAAAAATTTACTCAGCTGAGTTTTGGAAAACTAAGTCAAAGGTTTCCTCTGAAGAAATGAGATCAGCACATGGTGACACCGGAGCCCAGCAAAGCCTGTCCTCTTCTCTCAGTACAGCATAACAGCTTTTACTCCTGCATCATGAGGCCACCTAGGACTGGAATTCCTCCACTTCTCATAGTGATTTTCTGCTTAGAATCTGAGCTGTCTTGTGCTGAGAGAGGCTTTCTGCAGCCTCTCAGGAATATGGTGGCTAATCATGGATGAACAAATGTGATGCTTGTAGCCTTTACATTCCCAGCAGTCTCTTAGTCTCTGTTGTTGCAGCTCTGCATTCCCAGCTGAACATTGCTGGTTACCCTACTTAAGTTTTCATCTTGGCAAGAGACTAATTTACATAATTTTCTCTCTTCTCCTCTCCTTCTCTCCCTGTTTCCCTACTGTCTCTCCAACAAACCTGCCTCAGGACCAGCTGCTCTTCTGTGATGACTGTGACCGTGGCTATCACATGTATTGCTTGAACCCACCAGTCTTTGAGCCCCCAGAAGGTAACTTATGACTGAAGTCTGCTTTGAAAAATCACAATAAAGTCTTTGTGGAGAAGGGAAAAAATTCAGAAAGATGTTTTGAACTATGCGGGGTTAAGGAAACAGTAGCAAAGCAAAGGGAGGTAGCACTGGAAAGAAACAAAATTAATAGATGTGAAGCACTAGTGTGATCTGTGGTATCCTATTCAATCTTGCCTGGTCTCCTCCTCTTCCAGAAGAGGAAAGACCTTCTTTTGTGGGTCATGGGTACCTTTGGATGTCCCACATGTCACTGGTCACCTCAATTTAGTCAGCTGAATTGAGTACCTATGAAATGTGACTTTGGACTTCTTGAGAAGTCAAAGTCCTGGAGAGAAAGCCTCAGACAGGGAAGTCCTCTCTGGAACATCTGAGTGCCTGTTGTCAGGAGACTGGATTAAAGGGAATTACCTTCCTTGCTCTATGATATGTTTCTGTTTAGGCAGGGTGAAGGTTTTGTGGTCTGTATTACATTTGGTATGCAGTTATGACCTCTGCAGGGACTATACTATGGTTGGAATTTGTCACTTGGCAGTGGAGCAGAGGAACCAGTCTCTTGCCACTAGAGGTTCTCTGACTAAAGTCCTCAGAGAGCAATAGAATTGGAGGAGGCTTGTGAATGTGAATGACTGCGGTTTACATAAGGGGCAGGACAAGAATAATTACAAATTAATCGTGCATTCAGGAGCTAATGTTTGCAACTTTGGTAAAAAGGAGGCTAAATCAGGAGGGGAAAATCTTGAAATGCAGCTAATAATTATCTAAAGGTTTCTGTTCCACTGGGAAGTGGTTTATTGGAAGTGTGAAAATACAAAACTCATTGCAATGCACACCCCAGCAGCACTGCAGCTCATGTAGAAAGCCTATGGACACAAAAGCAAGGGCAGCAGAGTCTGCTTCACAAAAGTACAGGCAATTCCAATATTAGGAATATCTCATATACTGTTCAAGCCGATGTTGACATTAACTCTGAGTGCCTGGATTTTACGTCATTCCTATAAGAAGGATTTCTTCATTTGCAGGGAGTTGGAGTTGTCATTTGTGCCAAGAGCTGCTCAGAGAGAGAGCATCAGCTTTTGGCTACCAGGCCTGAGGAGCTCCAGCAGTCAAGAAACACCTTGCTCCTGGTGTTGCCATACCAGCACACAATTCCCATCCAGAACACAAAGACACGACCCACATCCAAATGAACGGACACTCAAATACAGGAAGAGGTATCTGTGGTATTCACTGTCACTAATGCCAGACCTCCTGGGCTCTGCTAGGACTTGGTACTTTCCCAGTGATCCGGATGAAATCTCTTCACTGCTGTGCATGGTTTCTGCTTGCCATCAATAGGCTTACACGCATTGTGGAAGGGGGAGGGTTGTACCAACACGGAGAAGTCAATTTTATGTGGCCTTGTGCTTTCTGTTTAGTCTTTTTTTTATTATTATTATTTTTTTTAATGAAAATGTAATAAGATATTTCCCAAGGAATTATTGGTGAGTACTCAGCTGGGAGCAGCACCAGGTGTTTCTCTTCACAGGCTTGACTGGAAATCTCTTTACTGCAACCACTCTGTAGATGCATGGGTACTTAAGAGGGGTGCTCTGAGAGTTGTGTTTAGTTCAATAATTCCCAGTTCATGAGCAGCACATTGTCACTAAGAGAAGCACTCAGCAAAACTTTTTGGGGTGACACTTTCTCCATTGAATCAAATGCCCTGATTTGGCAGATCATTAGGAATCTATTTTAAATGTAAGGAAGAGCAGTACTGATATGTACATGCTCAGATGCTTAGAAATGCCTTTGGTATTCAGGATATTCAGGCATACTGTCCCACTGCAATGCCAGCAATACCTTCCAGACACATAATTTCTTTTCGATCAGAAAATTCTGAGTGAAAAATCTTACGTATATGCAACTGACTTTCTGTTTAGCTCAGAAAAGTGAACAAAAGAAAAATTGTCATCTTAAGTTGATCTTAGAAAGTAAAAATGGTCAGCTTTCTGAGCAATCTAACGTAAGTTGCAAAAAGGAACAATTTTGGCCTAAGGTCAAATGAAGCACTTTGATTCATTTTTAAAAATTTCTAAACTAAAATGTTCTGCAACCAAAAGCTGCATTTTCTGGGCATTGCCTAATCCAGGCTTTCAGCATTTCCGAAGCGTTACTGTTCTTTGTCAAAGTAATTATTGAGATCTAACTAAATTTCCCAAAAATTTTCCCCCAAATTCTCTACAACCACATCTTTGGCCAATGACATAATTTGTCTAAAAACCTTCCCCAGCTCTAAAGAGAAGAATCATTTACTGAACCTAACATGAAAAGAAGAATTTTCATAATGATTAAAAAAATTAAATAGGAATAGTTCTACTTTATTTAAACAAAGTTTTACACATGAAATGAAAACATTTTAAGTGAGACCAACCATTGAAAAAAAATTATTGTAGTTGAATCTCTTTGGATAATTTAAGACATTACTAGGAGAATAAGTACATCAAATATTTTCCACAAAATACATCTTTAAGGTTAAAAATCTACTACTCCCTATACTGCCAAGTAGCCCAGAATAACCATTTTGTTGGGGTATGATGTATATCACTTTCTATGCATAGATTTAAGTGGGTTTATAATATAAATTTATGAGAGCAGCATGTGACTCATGTTGCTTGTACAAGTAGGTAAGGATACTGAAGATTATATTTGGCATGTTTATATTGGTTGAAACTCTTCTGCAAAATGAAATGTTCCCAAACACTTGAAAGACATTGTGAAACAATATTTTTTCTTCCTTCTCCTGCTAATTACACTTAGTTAGGATGAGCTATACTGACCTAGTGCACCTTTTCTCATTATTTAGATAGTTTCTTCCCCTTTTGTTCAGCTTACACATCAAAAGTAGCTGTGTCAGCTACTGGATTCTCCCACCTACTGTTGCAGCCTCTTCTCAGGCTATAGCAAGAGTATTTTAACCTGTTACGAAAAAAAAAAAATGTAGAAAGTATTTATCCTAATTGTATTGGACCAAATCTCTCCTGGAGCAGCTGCACTGGCTACCTGTAAAATTCATTTAATATCTTGTGCTTTCCATGTGACAGCCCTTCAATGAGCTGAGAACACAAAGAAATTTGAGCATCAAATCTCGAGAGAGCAAAGTGGAAGCCTGTGCACTTGCATCAGGTGTCTGATACCTGTTGGAACAAGACCCTTGAGCAAATATAAAATAAAACATCTTCTTCCCAGTCTGGAACTGCCCTGGCCCTGAGGAGCATTTGGAGGACAGAGCTGATGTGCAAGCACATTTATGCTCTTCTGTTGGTGTGGTTGAACCCTGCTGATCTGGCATTTTGGGACCACCACATGGTTCAGTCTGATACAAAATCCTGTTGCTGTTGTGGCCAGGAGTGCAAGTGTGTATTCACCAGAGACACCATTGGGCTCTCTCACAGAAAATGGGTGTTTTGAGAAGAGTGAATGGAAATGAGAAGTGTGTGTGCTGGAGGAAACTTCTGTGTTGGTGCTGCTGCTGGTGGGATCAGCAGATGTGGGTTAGTGTTTGGGCTGGTCCTTAGCTACCAGGACCTAGAGACTTCCATCATAAAAATCACCATTGCCTTCCAGTGTCCAGATGTTTACACTGACCTTGAAGGAGTAGGAAATGTCTGTGTTCCTAAACAGAGAGGACATGCATGTTGTTTTGGCCTGTGTGTTAAGCAGACACTGGTGGTTCATCGTGTAAGTCTCAGATAGCCTTGTTGGTGGAACCAGCTGGTGCAGAATTTCCGTGGTCTCCATCCCTATGACAGAGACATTGCTAAAGGAACTGTGCTCTCTGTGCACACCTGCTTTCCTATTTTGTAGTTTTGATCCAGAGCTGTTTTTTCCTCCCACAACCATTTTGCAGCCAACAATATCTTTCATGTTCAGAAATACTCCTCCGTGGCCTTGCTGAAGTTTCATCACTAATGAGGTATGACAGAAGGACAGATTGCTTAGAACTTCAATGCCAAAGTGTTGTTTGCCATCTGAGATCAGTGTGGCAGGGTGCTTGCCCACAGTGGACCAGCTGTGTTTCATCTCTCCAGCTTGATTCTGTGTGCTGTGTAGCCAGGCAGCTCCAGGGGACTTTGGCAGCAGATTAGATACAAGCTCTCCCTTGTGGAGAACTTCCTCCAGCTACAGCATCCCTTCTTCACTAGCAGAGTCCAAGATACGGGGCTGGAACGGAACTCTCAGTGACATTTTTAGCATGCATTCGGACCCATGTATATTGGTGCACTTCAGAAATACGACTGACCTCCCAGGTGGAAAATGCACCAGCTTTGCTGACATGTGGAGAGGTTGTGGCACTACCATGGGGATGAGGAAGAGGAGTTTAGACAACCCGATTCCCTGTCACCTGCTGCCCCACTGGGGATAGTCCTCCTGCATGACTGCTGGGATGTGTGATTTGGGCAACACCATCAGCTGTCAGGCAAATCTTGCCAGTGATCTGGTCTGGCCACTAAACAGTGTGAGGGCTCTGGCTCAGTGTGCTGCTCTCTCTTGTGCTATGGCAGAACATGCAAGTTTATTGGCAGTCCCTGAGATGAACAAACTGATGTTTTTCAAAACTCTTCTGTGTAAGGAAGGCAATTAATATTTTAGCACAAATCAGGGCAAACTACCAGGAGATGGTAGATCCTGTATGCCTCAAAGACTTCAAATCAAGAACGGACAGGTTCCTAGATGTATTTTAATTTAACACAATCTTATTTAATCACAGGAATGTCTGACTGGAAAAGGTTTGTGTTATAAAGGAAGTCAGACTGGATGATGTAATTGTTCTTCCTGGCTTTATCATAAAACCAGAAGTTTACTGTGGGAGAGGATGTATTTAAATACAAGCGTGACTGCATAATGGTCTTAAAGTATGTTAGTTAAACATATACACATGATCCTTCTACTTTTAACTCCTTTTGGATAACCTAAAAAAGGTCAGTTAGACAAAATCCTCTTTACTGATGCAGTAAATTGTGCATTACCTCCTTCATGCCCACAGGGGCATCTACTTTGGTATTGGCTACCTCGGGCTGTTCCAGAGACTGAAAAATTCAGACTGTATTGTGAGAAAGCATGGCTTGCCTCTGGCTCTCCCTCATCATATTTATGTGCTGCTCTGCCCAGTTTTCTGTCCATGGTGGGAAGACCACTGGGGAGGGCAGCACCTGTGGGGACAGACTCAGAAACCAGAGGGATGGAGGAATGACCACAGACTGGGGGCATCCAAGCGGTACCACTGAGGAATTGAACTCGTGTTGCCAGCACAGAGCCTCCCACATAGCTTGGAAAAGGCAATACCTCTGAGAAACACGAGATGGGTCCTAATTTGCCCCCAAACTGTGCTTCCATAGCTGTGTTGTTGCATCAAGTTTACAGTGCACAGAGTTTACATTCTGTAAACTTACCTCAGACCAGTTCTTGAGCTAGGAAAGCCACCATTAAGTGTGTGCTTTTGAAGCAAATGTTACTCTAAATAACTTTGAATTCATGATTTTTCATCTTTCTTTAGAAGGAGCTAAGTCAATTCTGCCCCAAAGGAAGATTCTCCTGCACTATGCAGTGTTATGGGGCTGTAGCATTTTCTTTACACCTACAGCATGTGTTTTGACAGGGGTCATTTGGGAGGTGAGGAGTGGATGGGGGTAGAAAGGAATATTAATTAAGCTTGTCACTGCTAGAGGGATAGTGTGCATTGTAGGCAAGAAAATTCCAGGTAGAGCTGGGCATGACTTTTCTGTGTGGAATGAATTAATTTTTTTAAAATGTTCTTTTGAGAGAACCATAATTATTATCAAAGTCCAATCTGGCAAATTATTTCATACAACAACTAAGAGGAAACAATCGAAAGAGTTGAAAATTATTGTTTCAATCTTTTTAGAAAAAATCACTTCAATATTTGAATTTTAAAGTTAACATAATTTATATGGGGAAAAATCTGGCACCAGTCTGTGAGGGAAGAAAATATAGATCTTACGGAGGACATGAGTAAAAGATAGATTATTTTTGCAATGTTGTTATGGGAGGCTGTGGGATGATCACGAGGAAGTTACCTGGCATTTTAACAGTTGACCAGTTCTATAATTTTGGGAAAATAAGTTCTGTGGAGAGGAGCAGGCAGACAGGTCAGGAAAGCCCTTCTCTAACCTTTTCTGGGTTCATTATGATCTTACCATCTCCCACGTTTGCATGACAGGAGCAGGGTGACCACGGCTGCCAGGCAGGAGCAGGAGGGTGCTGCCCCAGCCCCCCAAATAAGGGGTGAATGCAGAAGGAGCCCCCAGCCAAACTGGCAGGGATGCTCATGGACTGAGGGCCCAACCTGGAGCTCAGCTGCCAGCTGCTGACCCGGATGGGGACAGCCTGTCCTGCAGTGCTGTCCCTGTGCCCAGCTGCCCATCACAGGCACACTCAGAGCTGCTCTTCTGAGCCAGCCCAGGAGTGGGACACTCCCCACACCCCACCTGTGTGGAGTTATGAAGCACAGGGCTTATTTCCACTTCCAGCAAGGATTGCAGCACTGCTGTGGACAGGTGCTCAAATCTGTGCCTCGCTGCTGGAGAAAAGGCAGGATGGCAATTCTTAGCTGCTTCTGCAAAGCACTCGGAGCCTACAAACAGTGAGCAAGCCCTAAGTGCTGCTGTTTACCACAGTGCTGCACACCCAGGCTGTGGCAGAGCAAGAAAAGCCAACTCTTCTGGGCTTTCCTTACACCATTTGTTTTTGCCAGCCTCAGGCCCATGACACTGCCCAGGAGATAGGAGCAAGTGACAAGGCAGGAGTTGGATGCAAAAGATCCAAGACCCTGCAGAAGGAACACAAAAGCTTAGTTGCTGTGGCTGTGCTTTTCCACTGGTAAAAGAGGGCAGGAATTGTGACTGGCAGGCAGCCAAATCCATCTTTGGTGGTGATATAATTGCTAGCAATGACCTCCAGCCACAGCAGTAGTTAAATGGCTTTTCAGGGCAGGGCAGACACCAAACCTGGTCTGGTTTACGTAAGATAAACTCAGGTTTGCTGGAGGGGCAGGGAGAGGAGGGGGTGTCTGTGGTTTGATGAGGACTGATTTACAGGAGCAGCTGCCCAGCCCACTCCCCATCGAGTTCCCCTGGCTCTGCAGGCTCAGGCAATGTCTCCATCCTATGAGTGCCAGTGCCATCATCCAGGGCCAAAGCATCATGTCTCCGCTCCTGGGGAGCAGTTTTGCAGAGGGTGCTGGCACTGTCCCAGCTCTGTCTCTGGTGGTGCTGGCTGGGGCACAAGGTCTCACTGTACTGGAGACAAGGGTGAGAGTGACTGACGCTCCCAGGCTGTGTCCTCGGCCCCTGGGGTCAGGGGCTGTCTGGAAGGAGGCAGGCTGCAGGTTGTGCAAGCACAATTTTGCTGTCCTGATGGCCAAGCCCTAGCACAGGGTAGAGAAGAGGTGCATCACTCTCCTCTCTCTCCAGCTGCACCATTGGGGTGTTTGGACAGTCCCCCACCACTGTGCACGGCGGCACTTAACTGAGGGGAAAGGGGAATGTGAAGAACAGCAAGTGCCTCCAGGGAACAGAAGGGATTTTAGGCTTTATCCTTTTATTGTATGCCAGTGAGAATGCCAGGCATTTAGCAGCTGAAGAATCGAGCCAAAAGTTTATTAATATTTGTTGTGTATTTCTGCCATGTTGGGTGAAAATGTAAAGTGTTATTACATTAGTAGATTTAGAATATATGTTTTTACTGATGTTTTGAAATGAGAAAAGTACTATCTTCAGATCAGCTTACTGCCCTTTGTGTGCATGAAGTTAAAAAAAACCACTTCATACCTGAAAATTTTCAGGTATTGATATTTTCTTTCAGACTCCTGTCAATCTAGTTATCCATCTGATTCAGTTAATTGTAACAAACTATAGGTTTCACCTCCATGGTGACTTGGGAAATATTTCATCTCTTCCCACTTTCAGAACCTAGGGAGAGAGAAGGGCAGGTTTTATTCTTTGTATTTGGAAAGATTGATAAAGGATGACACATTAATTTCATGTTCATCTCCTTTCCATGTCTTGAATGATTGAATTGGTTGGCTGGGAGAGCATTCCTTTCTGTAGTGGTCTGGAGTGCTGCCGTGGCTCACCTCTCATGGATGAGAAAGCACAGTCCAGCATTTTGTCCACTTGGATAGGACTCCTCCTCTATTGCCATATGAGACTTTGGAACTGCTAATTCTGATCAGAGACCCTTGTGCCTACAAGATAAGGTCTTCCCTTCCATTTCTCAAGAGCTTCTGCCTGGAAGGCCAAACCCCCCTGCTGCCCATGAAGTCTGATGAAGCACAGATCTGTTTCCAGCCCCAGCATGTGCTTCTGCTGGACACAGGACCATATTTGGATGCTCACAATGTATTCCCACTGCAGAATTTGCGAGCAGCAGTGAAAAAGGAAGTATCTGCTGAAAAACAAAGGACAAGATGTGAATGTTATACCTAACCTACTCTTCCTTTATAGCTCTCCTGGAGTGCAACACTAGAGATGTGCCCCTGAAAACTTTTGGGAAGGCTGTGCATGAGGAATTTCCAAGTGTCATTGACTTTGAGCTTCATTACCGAATATCTTCTCTTGTTCATCCTCATTTTCTTACAAAATTTCAGAGACAGTGTATACTAAAACTGATTTGAAAGGTTTAGAAGAATTCAGAAATAGACAGGTCCAAATCAAACCATCAGCTTTTATCTCTCCCTTAGAAGTGTTCAACCAGTCTTTGATCATTGCAGAGAATCAGGCTTGTGTTCTTGTTTAATATCAACTCAGCATTGAGGCCATACAGTAGTTCATAAAGACTTTTCAGTCATAAAATGTTCTTTAAAAAAAGTGAATGCTATTTCCTCTTTACCTTGATGGCTTTCCATTTCTTCTGCTGCAGCAGAGATCAAGTCTTCCTGTTTACTTAGATTTTCTTCTAGCACTGCAGCCTGGGTTAGAAGTGATGGGCATGGGCCTGGAAATAATGTATTTCACTGAATTGCAGATGTAAAGAGAATCTCAATAGTATTTAAGTAAATTGTCATCTGTATGACTCAGTCAGATCTTCTAAGAACCAGAAGCTTGTGTACATGCTAATTTATTGGATCACCATTTCCCCATCTGCCATTTCAGGTTGAATCTGCCATTGGTATACACTTTTTTTTTTTTTTCCCCAAATAGCAGTGGTTGAAAAGAAAAACAAAACAATTAAAATTGGGGGTGAGGAAGACTGAGTTACAATCTTTGCTGTTGATCCTTTATTTGATTTGAGACAACATTGTCCCCATTATTCTAAAGCAAAATAGAAGGAGAATAAATCTGTGACATCATAGCACTTCTAGATAAAAGCTCTTTTGTCATCATCTTGTAAATGCACTTAAAATGCTGAAGTAATGGTCTCTGAACAGTGACACTGGCACAGCCTTACTGTGTGATGCTATAGTATTAATTTTTAATTAGGGGACTTTAAGTTATATATACAAATATATATATACATATATATTTGTGTATCATCCTAATGTTTTTTACTGTAAACATTGCTCACTGATCAGGAATAGATCTAGAGTCCTATAGTAAGTACTACTGAAAAAGAAGGAGCAAGAAAATTCTACTTGTTTTGGAAAAGTCTGTCAGCATTCTAACAAAATAGGGCAAAACATTATCCCTTACAACTTAATCTGAATTTTATTTGGAGCATGGCTTATCTTATGAAAGATAACCAATGCTCTAAAATGTGGGACTGATTCTCAGCTGCTCTTAGTCAACATTCATCTACTGCTTTGTGGATGGCCTGGTATCCTTAAAGATGCCAAGTCTATGTCTTAGACTTTAGATTTTATGAAAAGGTGTGTGGCTGCTTAATAGTTGAGCACACTCAACACATGCAAGAAAAGAGTTCTTTCTGTCTCTGTCTGTAAGTCTGGTCTGTTTATGCCCTATTCTGGCTCAACCTGTCTCCGGTGATGCCATGTTACAAGCTCCAAAGGAAAGTTTTTTTTCTGTAAACAACTCTTCACAGCTAAATCAGGAAACAGTGGACAGCAACACATTATCTTCCTCACCTGTATAAGTCCTCACTTCAGTCAGCTCCATCCTCCCCTCTCTTACTAATTTCTAATCTGTTCTAGTATTTTTGATCTCTGTGTCTCTTCACATGGAATCTTTTGCAGCTCCTCTAATTTTTAGCATCTCTTCATGGAGTCAGTCCTCTTCAACATCATTTGCTCTGAGACAATCACCCAGGATACGCCACAGGTGTTTAAAGCTTGACTTCCAAGCTTTACTTCTCTCCCAACAGTGTGTCCTTACAGTATGTCTTTGCTTTTTAGCCATCCCATGAGTAGGCCCGTGGTCATCTCTGGGATATTTTTCCTTTGTGATTACAGCTCATCTCAAAGGAACATGTGTTACAGCCAAGCAAAGCCATGCAGCCTTGCTGCTGGCACACACGTCCTCCTTTCCCCAGTGCTCCAGCTGGGGATGTGGTCAGGCTGCCGGTGCATGAGATCACATCCAGCAGGGCTACTCCCTGGAAGCCAAAGTGTTGCTTAGTAACCCACTCATGGAAGTACCAGAAGCATTTTTCAATCTGTCACATTGGCAAAGAACACTGGCTTCTTGATTTAGAGGCATTCTGCTGTGCGTGGCAGGGCCATGCTCCATTATCTTGCATCCAGCGCTATCTGCAAGCAAGGAGATGAACCTCCCATTTAATGGAGGGGCTGGGAGAAGGTGGGGGTGTGAGGCACAGAAAATATTTTCCTAGGAACATGAAGCTTTTAGCTGGTTCTCCTGGCATCTAGTCCTCAACTTAACTCATTTCCCATGGGAGATATTCTCTGCTTATGAAATGCACTCCAGGGTCCTATAGCAATTGGCCAAACAGGACCCTGCAGCACCTTCATCTATTATGAGACATTACTGCAATAAAACTTGGTGTGTCATACAGAAACCGGATGAGGTATTGCAATATTTATGCTGTAAGCCTCAGTGTCATGGACAATTGCTACAGAATAATGTATGTTTTTTCTTAATGCAGTGGAGTCACAGCAGCTTCAGCAGAGCACACTGAACACAGATAGTCTGTGATTGCATGGTTTCCTCAGATATTTTCAAATTATTCTGTTACAGACGCTTAAATGGAAAATATCCTTTCATTAAAAATAGATGGTAAAAGCTCTTAGGTTACTCCCCCTTTTAGGAATAATTCAGTCTGAAAGTAAAACATCCAAAAACCGGGTTCTGACTTGAGGGGCTTACTTCTTTATCTGACACCGGTGTATCATTAAAAATGGCTTCAAAAAGTAACTTGAGGGCTTTTATTTGAGGTACCTTGTTGATTTTGCTATCACATCTCTTCATTTTGGAAATGAAAAGATATTTTAAACAATGTCTAGCTTTGAGCTCTGGGGACCAGCTGGACTCTTCCCATCCTACTTCTTATTGTAGAACAGTAGAACCATAGAGTGTGTCCAGCCATGGCATCACCCATTTCTGTGGGCTTGCCTCCTGTTGACAGATTGTGTCCTGGAAGCCCTCTGCAAAAAACTGAAGGGCTTTTATATGGGTTGTTGAAGATCCAGGGTGGTCTGAAGATGTGGTTGTTAGACAAATGTACCCAAGGTCTCTTTTGGTCTTTGGAGTGTCATTTTACTGGGATGGTGCTCAGTGCTGCAGTGATGAAATCAGCAAGTTGCATCACATATTTTGTGTAAGGCCTTGTCAGTGCAAGGCCAGTGACATGCACAATACTCACGTGCTAAAGCTTGGCTTTGCATAAAGATGAAAAAACATCCCACAGTTTTGGAAGCTCCTGACTTAATTTCTGAAAACTTTTTGAGGAGATGAGTACCTTCCTGTGCTCTTTCCCAGTCTAATAAATAAATTTGGCTATGGGATAAAGAGTCCTTCAAATTTATTGTATGTAGTTGTATTTTTATTGCACATAGTTTAAGAAATACAGAAAGTAGCCCAAAAATGCTCTTGATGACTGGCCAGCATAAAAGCATTTGATGATCTGCTGTGGATCCCAGAGCAGAATTTTCTACATCACAGAAATATTCTGAATGAACTGTTTTCTACAGGGGGCAGGGAGCATTCTTGGTAGGGAAGCAAAGACTGTGAAGATTCTAACTTTTAGAACTGGCTGTGCCAGCTCAGAACTGATGGAAAGCTTGCCATTGTGATGCTTTGCTCTGTGGAAAAGGATTCAGAGAAGCACTAAGTGTACAATGCATTATTGTTTTAAAAGAATCAGGGTATCTGTTTCCAGTCTTCTAATACATTAACCTTGAAGTTTGTTCATAATTAAATAGTCTAGCCCTACCAGTTAGGCATCGAAGCAAGAGACTTGTTGTGAAGACAGTGGGCTAGGGAAGAGCAGGTGTACTGGATAACCTTTGGGCAATACTGAGAAAGCACATCCACTCCCTGCACTCACAGGGGAGGACACCTCTTTCTTTGCACTTACTGCACATTCTGCATCTTAAAATTGTTCGAAGTAAGAACCATTTTAGAGCAACTGAGTTAGCTACAAAGCAGAAGATGTTCCACTGGCATTAATTCTTGTTGTTTAGGTTTGGGGGTTTCTATCTGCTCATATACTCACAGCCTTCTTTTCAACATTTGAGGATGCTATAGATTACTTCTATCTCACCTAATTGGGATCTACCTGCCCTTATGGTAACAACAAATTGTGGGTTGGAAGCTGCCCCACTTCCTGGCTGTACATACCACCATCTATACAACATGTAGTGTATGTTGAGTGATTGCATTGTAGTGGCTTTTGTAATGCAATAACTGTGGTGTCAAGAAAATGTGGTTGGAGAAAACTTTGCTTACAAATTAACATGAATAGAAAATCAAAGTCATTGAAAAGACAGTACAGATGAAGAATTCTTACTGTGAGCCACCACCGTGTGTCCCACAATATGCCAGCTTCTGTATCTTCTAAATAGTCTTTTATCCTCTTTGCAGCAGAAGTGAAATTTAATTTTGTGTCTGTACTCTGAACTGGAGACATTGGTACTCAGTCTTTTCATAATGTGCTGATGAATTGAAACACTCACCTTGTCATGCCAGCTTCCATAGCTTCCCACCAAAATAATGCAATGCCAGTTGGTGAATAGCCTGGAGGAGTTTTGGGTGCTGACTGAAGCATGCCATTGAAATTTTGGTCTGCAGGAACACAAGGTTTTGTATTGATGTTTGTAAAAAAACCCAGCAGTCTCAGATGAACCCAAATGTTCTATTAGTCACATGGCAGGTACAGAGAAAAGTCAAAACAACTGAGTGAGGGGAAAAAAATAAGGGGTTCTGCCTGAAGAAAACCCTATATACCACTCTCATTTCAGAGGAAAAATCCTTCTGTGACCAGTCCAGGGTGACAAGTAGTTAGGCTCAAAGTCTGGAAAGACCCATTTCTGTAGTGTGTTTGTCACTGTGTCTTTGGTTATGCACACGTACCAGAATAGGAGAAAATGCCTGTCTTTCTTTCAAATTCCTTTTCAGCTTTGTACACTGCCTCCAGGTTGCCTGTTGCTGCACCCCATGAGGCCTCATTGGAGTGTGCACTACCTTGCTTGGTATTTGTTTACTTTTGGCGGCCACAGACTAAGGTTACAGGTTTGGGAACCAGTACATAATTGTAAGGACAGCTTCGTGTGTTAGTTTTCCCCCCCCCCCCTCATCTTTTGTAAAGTGTGAACCTTTCTTTGGAATTCTGAAGTGACTGTATCGTTGCAATGTTTGTATGTAGAGATTTGTTTTAACATGGCTTGTGTGAAGGATCTTTGCTCTTCTTATCTCACATTCAATTTTATTAAGTGCTTGATAGCTTTGCCAGCCTTCTGTGGGGGAGGAGAGGTGATGGGGTGGCTTCAAAACTTGGCTTTTTTTTAAGGGAAATTTGCCCAGCTTTGCCTAGAGCAGCATGAGAATCTGGGGTGCTCCTGACTGTTCTTCAGTCATCCTGATCTGATTGCTTCTTGGAAAAAGAGATCAGCCTTGAAACTCTCAGAAAAAAACAAATTGTTGAATGCACTAGGCCAGCACTGACCAAGAAGGCCCATCAGTTTGTCATGCATGGAAACCTGCATGGTGTTTCACCCCGCCAGAAGGTGTCTGTTGAGCACAGAGTGAATCATGGAAACTCACACTGCTCTGCGGATGCCAACGGAGCCACCACAGCTTGCACCAGCCAAGGATCGGCCCTTCCGTGTTTTGGTGGTTAGGAAACCTGTGAGCGAAATCCCGCTGAGGTTTGAGAGGAGAGGAAAATGGGTGTTGGAGACCTCTCAACTTTGCAGGATTTCTTTGGTATTCATACATATTTGCAAGAATGTATTCCAAGCATCTTGTACTGTTATTAGTAACTTGTACTGTAGTTTGTTAGAAGTGTTGACTACCTACATAGCTAATATTCTGTTGCAACTTAGAAAATGTGTAAACAACTGCAGAAAACAGGAGTTTAGAACTTGTATGTACTGTTTTTTTTATATTAAAGCACTTCAATTAAAAGTTCAAGGAGAAATGCTTCTGTAGCCTTTGTATCTTTTTGGATAACAGATGAGTGGAAAGAGATGGGAGTGCGCTCTTCCCAAGATCTTCCCTGTTTGCTTTGGTATTACCCAAAAGAGATGGTCAAAATTTTGGGAAGAACTTTGTGTATTAAAGTTTATTCAGCAAACAGAAGATGCCAACAACCTAGTCCAGAAGACATTATAATCTTACGGAGTCCCTACGACCAATGCTGAAGTGTCTGAGGGATGGCCGAACCATCACCGAGGGCTGATTCACACAGTGAGTATCTGCAAAGGAGGTTTTAAATGGGGAGCAGTTAATGAATGAGTCCATGTGTAGTATATTAGATTTCCTTTATTTTTATCACGAAGTCCCTCAGAGGTCACTGGAAGTCTGTTCATGTGAAAGTCAAGGAAAAGTATCCCCAGTCCAGGGTTATTTCAGGGGTACTGGAAAGTGGTGGGTTTGAGTACCAGAGGAGTTGTGTTGGAAAACAGCAGCACACAAAGGCAACAAATGGTCCTGACCACACACCCCAGAAATTGTTTCTCTCTCCTCCCTGCCCCTGGCCCCTCTCAATGTGCATATCCAAATACCTTCCTGGATCACATCACTGTGGGATCGGCGTGCATAAACAGACATCTCTAAAGCAGCTTGTGATTTGGTGATCTCAGCCCAGCTCTTAGTAGCCAGATGCCCATAATATGAAAACAACCATCAAAACTGTCTCTTTTTCTGGCACTGTTTAATCAAAGGGACAATGGGAGAGAATGGCAGTCTTATTTCTACAAAGAGCCCTTCAATGTCAAATTTGCCATACAGTAGAGCAGCATTCACCTCTGTGGCACAGACCACAGCCACTGCGGAGGGGAACAAAAGCTCTCAGACAGCACGCAATTAATCCAGCATCTATTAAACCAACCACGGGTAATTTTGAAGGAACGTAACAGATTTCTGCTTTAAATTATTCTAAGCACTATTTTTTTTTAACTCTACACTGTATGCACAGCTCCAAGTACAAACCAGAAGGCTCTGTTTCTGGCAGCTGTTGTCTTCCCAGTAGCTGTTTTACATCCCTGGCATCTCATAATCCTGAAACAAAAATCAAGTAAAACACAGCAGAGGAACAGCATTAAAATGCCTCTGGTTTTCCTGCTGCCCAAAGCCATGTTCAGGTGCTCAACACCAGAGCAAACAATTAATTCCATTACCAAGGGAACTAATGAAATCTGGTTTCCTATGGATTTATGACAAGATGTTACCTTGGTGCCAGAGACTTAAGAAGTTAGTCTTTCTGCCAATATCTTGAATCCAGATGAGGATTTTATCAGCACTAGTCTCTGGAATGGCATAATGAACTTTGAAATGGATACATCTTAAAAAAAAAAAAAAAAGCTCTGTTACACAGCATACAGTGAGAGATGAAAATTTATTATTGATGGAAATTTACAAGATAATTAAAATAACATATCAAAACAAATATACCTTGTCTGCTAAGTCCTAAAAATGGGATTGTGCTTATTTTATTTTATAATGTCTGTCCCCACTTTTCCCAATGCAATGCTATTGAATAACAATGTGATTGCCAGTGGAGTGATTGCAATAAAGGACACAAAGTATTTGTAATAGCACAGCAAAAGGTGTAAATAAACAATATGTTTTCACAGAGGAGGGAAATTACTCAGAGATCTAAGATGGACATGTATTTTTAAATATTTTTAAAAGTGATTTGGAAAATAAGAGGCAAAGTGAGGTGAGAAGTTTACTGAGAATGAAAAACTCTTCTGGGCAGTCAAAACAAGAGTTGACTGTGAAGAGCTGCAGAAGTTTTTCATGATAATGAGGAACTGGGTTGTAAAATGACAGATGAAATCTACTGTCGGTAAATGCACAGTAATGCTTCTGGGGGGGAAAAATCACCCTAATTATACATGCATAATGAGGGGCTCTAAATCACCCATCACTGCACAGGAAAATGATCTCAGCTTTGTTGCTAATTTTGAGAAAATGACAGGTCAAGGCTGAGCAGGTGTCAAAAAAGCAAGTAAAATGTTAGGAATAACTAGGAAGGGAGGGGGAAAAAAGACAAAACAGAAAACATCATTAAGTCTCTGCATAAATCTATGGTGTGGTCCTGTGCTGGGTAGTGTTTGCAGTTTCTCCATGTGCTGACCCTCCCATCCCCACAGCCCAGAACACATCCAAAGAGCCAGAGGAGACACAGGGGACAGCCAGAAAGCAGTGCCACTATGGGACAGTTGCAATGCAAGGAGAGAAGCAGTGTGCTGGGGCTCACTGGCTGTCAAGAACAATGGCAAAGGAAAGACAGGTTTGCAGGTTTGCCAGGAACGGAGAACAAGCTGCACTTCCAGCCCCAGCCTAGCCGTATGGAAGCAGCTGGGTCCCTGCAGCTGAGTAGGCACAGGCCAGCTGTGGGGTACATGCTCTACATGCACCTTGGTCCTCATATTTGTGGCCCTAAACTTCCTTTAAAGGTCATTATTAGGGAAGGTTATCTCCACATCCAATCCCATACTTTGGTTCTCACATCTTATTTTTAAAGGGAGTTTATCCCTGATCTCAGATTTATTTTCCTACCCCTTTAGTATCTGTCCATAGGGGGAGAAAATCTATTTGACACTTCAACTTCACTTAAGTTCCTTGAGGAAGTTAAGCTGTGCCTGCTTATTTCATTCACTACAGTTGATAAAGATAATCAAACAGCTTGTCATTGAAGCCATCACCATTTTTCTGGTACAAAAGCCATATGAAACATTAAATTGAAATTCAGCAAACCACACCTAAACTCCAGGTGGGTGCAAACCTAGCAGCACACCAGAAAAGGGTTGAACCTCCCATCCACTTCTGCAGGACCAGGATTTAATCTCTTAAGTGTAGAAGCTTCCTAAGAAGATACAACAGTGATTGCAAAGACTAAAGGTGGCTCTTCATCACATCAGAAATCGATTTAGTGCCTTTTAACTACGTGCTCCTGCAATGCCCCAGTACATCTATTCTGATACCACAATAGCTCACTGTTGTGCAGCCTCTGCTTTAGTGATTTGTTTCCATGTCCATCTTATTTTTGGGAAATATGAATCCATATGAAAGAGCATCCTTCCCAAGGCTGGCTGGCTGTGCTGAATGGAAGAAAGACCCATCAGTCTCAAAGAGATGTTATGGAGAGCAAAGGTACCTCCCCAGCAGCCTGACCTTGGCAAGGAGACAGGAGACTCACCATTTGCGACAGGCAGCAGTTCCCTTTAATAAATATTTCATGGCAGAGAACAGCAGACTTGGGGAGAAAATGGAGGGCAGGGTTCAGCCTGTGACGCAAGGTGATGTGACCAGACCTTGTCTAGCAGGGCTGGAGGCCACCTAATTCGCATTCCCATGCCATGCTTACGAAGAGCATTCTATAGTCCTCTGGGAACACAAAAATAATTAAACGGCCCCTCAGCATGCAGTGTTGCTAATGGGCTATTGCCTGCCATGGGATGTTTTTGTGCTCAATTAGAGCTGAGCAATGCAGACTGCTCAAAATTCCCATCTCCCTCCGGGAGACACCTGGGTGGACGAAGCCTCCTTTTCTGCTGCACGATGGGCTTTGTTGTGCGTTGCCCTGCAGCGTTTGCGACGAGGAGCTGCAGGCTGGGGCGGCAGCTAAGCCCCATGCAGCGGAGCACACAGCGCTGCATTCACGGGCTGCAGACGGAGCTCCGGCACTGGGCAGAGCACATGGAGCTGCTGGGTTCAGAGCACTCATCCTGCATAACCGGGCACCTCTGCCGTGACACGGAGCTGCGGGATGACTGCGCATGTGGCACAAAGCAAAGGGCCTGGATCTCTTCCAGGAAAGGCCTCGCTCACACATTGCATATCTGTGTAGACTTCTGGCTTCTCCTTAGCACAGTGCAAGGCTCTGTTGGTGCCAGCCACAGCTGCCTGGCAAAGAATTCCTTCAATATTCTCCCCTTTTCTCAGCGCAGATCATTTATGGGATGATGCTGAGAGACCTATCAACACCTTTTGTGCTTTCTCAGGAGGGATTTGGCCACCTGAAGGCAATTTCTCTCTGCAATCTCAGATTGCCTTCTGTCCAGGCACCTGTTTCATTTACCAGCCCTGCTGTGGAGGCTGCCTTGCCAGGTCTCTGTGCCTAATGCTGTCTCTGATGCTCTCACAAGCCTTGACTCACTTTGCGAGCCATCGGTGCAAGCCATTGCTGCCTTGTTTGGGCCAAAACAACAATTTGTCTCCAAGGTATGGTTGTTTGAGTATTCATGGACTAAACTTTAGGTAATTAGCATTGTTAATGTTCTCTGTGCGATATTACAGCTGTGGGCCTCATTAAAATATTCTCCTGGGAGAAGTCAGGTGAAGAGTCAGGTGTCAGCTTTGCTTCATGTGGAAAAGACTGCCTGTTATTCTGAGAGAATTATTTGTTTAAACACTGGATTTACACATGATGGTGTATTTAATCCCCAGTGCTTCTGACAGCCTGGGAGCTGGGCTGAGCTGCTGAGAAGCAGTGGTTTGGAACCCAGCAGCAAGGATCTACATTTCTTCTGCCCGAGAAAGGCTCAGGCTGGTGGGCTCCTGCCCAGGCCACATGCAGCAGGCAGGAATCTGCAGGTTGGTCTCCCCAGTGCCAGCTGCCCCACCCCACCGCAAGGCCCTGTCAGATCCTGCCCACTGCCAGCCCCCGCCCCAGCAGCTTCCCTGAGCAGCAGGACCTGAGGAGCGCTTTTACAGGAAAGGACTGTGAAAAAAGGCCACAGAGGAGCTCAAAATTACCTGAACCAATGGCAGTTCAGGTGATGAGAAGAGAAACAAAGAAACAGCCTCTGCTCCTCAGCCAGGGGATGGTATGTCCCAGGGCCATTTTCCCATGACACACCAGGCACAGTGGTGGTCATCCCATCCTGTCTCTGTATTTTGTACAAGGAGTGAGAGACTTGAGTATGTTGCCACCCCTGACAGTGAGGGAGTTATGCCCCAGTAAGGCCC